TAATTTATGTATAAGTAAATTTTTATTTATATATATTATTTTTAATTAATGGGATCGAATATCTTACTTTAACTTGGTCCACTATTGCCGCTGTAACACGTTCTGCGCTATCTTGAACATGTTCCTCATCTTTCATACGGTGAAGATTAAAAAGATAATCGTATGTACCTATTGAAAATAAATAGAGAGTCTCATCTTGCTTGCCTACGAATTTCGCTCCGCTTTCAACAAAATACTTTTTCGAATCACCGAGGAAAATATCAACTTGACTGCTTAGTGATTTCGACTGCAAAATAGATGCAATTAATTAGAAAATGAGCCAAAACAAATAACTAAGTATATAAATTAAATTCATTTCGAGGGATCTATGAAGTGGTAGCGAGTCTAGTGAAATATTTATTGGACTAGTTAACAGGAATGGGACTATTTTAGTTTTTTTCTTGTGGTAAGGTTGTTTTAGTGATTTCTTATGGGATCAAATCCCCAAATCCATCTCTTATGAGAGTAGAAATAGATTTGTCCAAAAGGAAAGAGAATAAATTGTTTTAAATAGGTTAAGATAAATTATTTATTATTAAACATGTGACATTATTACATATCAATTTTTTGTTAAAAACATGCTTATGTGACAAATCACACATTAAATAATATGTGATTTATTTTAATTAATAATTTAGATACGTAATTTATCCTTTTTTTGAAGAGATTTGTCTTGACAAATTTGGGGTTCTGCCTTTTTGTGATACTTTATTAAAAAAAAATTAACTTTAGGATTTTTTTTACCTAAATATTTGCAATACAAGTTAATATATGACAAAAGTGTTGTATAAGTTGTCTTCTCAAAATTTTTTTAGAGGATATGTTTAAATCTGTTTTTTTTAAATTAGTATTTTAAAAAATCAATGGTTAGATTAAAAATTTTATTTATATTAAGTATGCTTGTTAATTTTTATATTAATTTAATATTTATAAATTTTTTATCAAATAAATTTTTTTTACTGATATATATTTAACAATATTAAATTTTATATAATCATCAAATTAGTTAGGCCATATTATTGTCAACCATGTTGATGTCTTAATTAATTAGGAACTTAATTAATTTGCTTGGATATATACCTTATCTGCGCTTTGCTTGACACCTGCTCCGGCCATGGCGAAGCTCAAACTTGCACATCCTTGTAATGTTTGTTGGATATTTAAGCTACTCTTGTATGCAGTAACTTTGCCCTCATCATCGGCCAGGCGTAAATATTTGGCTGAAACCAGTGAAGTGTACATGGTTATAGTATAGTTGCAAAAAGTTGGCAATAATCGAGTTAGAAAAGGTTTTGAAGAACAAGTTCATGAATTAATTAGTTTTTAAAAAATATTAATTAAAATATGATGATTTTGGAGATATATATCCTCTAAAAAGACGTCATACAAAACACTGTATAAGGATCTTACCAATATAATCAGGTACTACAAGACCATCCGAGAATCTTCCAGTACGAACCTCGGGGTTAAGTGATTTCCCATATGGTGGGTCATTAGATGGAAGACAAAGTTCATCATTACCGTAGCCAACATCAAAGAATGAGTCGCCGAAGACGATCAAGAGGGTAGAGCTTTTAGACTCCGCGCAGTTTCCTCCGTGAACTGCTGGAATGAAAAGGTTTGCGGTGGCAAACAGAGTTAAGAAAAGGAGAGGAAGGGAATAGCCTGACATTACTCCCATGACTGAGCTCTATCAAAGCTTCACTTCACACTAAATTTTGTGGTTTGGACGCACTTCTCCCAACCGCCTTTTATAGTGCTCAGTTGCCCACAGATGCCCTTCATCACCTTTGTTAACATATGTGATCTATTACTCTACTGCTTCAGATAGTAATGCTTAGAGGGCAGTGTGAACTGCGAAGTTGGTGTGTACCTACATCATTAACAAAACTTAGTATGTCAATGAATTCTATAATTTCAACTTTATTAAGTTTAAGTTTTTTTTTTTCAAAAAAAATGTAAATGTAATTATTAGTTTGACTGGTTATACCTATTTATAGCTAATTAGAGTATTTAAAAATGTTAACTTATGTGCTAATTTCAATATATTAAATAATGAACATTAATTATTAGTCAAGTTTATCTAACATGGATTTTTAAAATAGAGATTAAACTTTATTAATTTAGTATTTGTAATTACCTTTATACGAAATTTCATATTAAATTCTCTTTCTTTTCTATAAACTTTGAGTATAAATAATACATTATATTTTAATTTTATGTTTTATTTTAATTAAATCTAATATAAAAGTTATGTAAAATTAATTATATATATTATAATTAATAAAACTTAATTTATATCCTTAAAATTCAAATTAAAATTTTTCTAATTATTTTATTTATTAATTAATATAAATTAATAAGGTTTATCTATTTTGTATCCCAAAAAGCAATAATTATATAATTATTATAGTATTTTTATTTTAAAAATAATAAAATTAATTTTTGTTTTAATTACAAATGCTACATAGTAATTTTTTAATTGATTTATATTAAAATTAAATTAAAAAAATTTATTTTTTAATTTAAAATTTCACATTTTTAAAAAATTAACCATTATTATCTGATAATCAACTCTTATTTTAGATTGCAAAAAGTACAAAAATAGACAAACACTTTATAATATTTATGAGTAACCTTATCCTCAACAACGACGCAATGTGCACACCCGCAAGTTCGATTGTTTTGATCGAATGCATTTAACCTCATAATTTCGACCAAAATTCAAAATTACAATATGCAATCCCTTTTTCCTGCTCCTCACATTCCTCCTGTTCAAAAATAAAAAAAACGACGCAGTGTGCGATATTTATGATTTAACGTCAGCATTGTGAGAGAAGTTAGCGTCAGCATTTGCGTTGTGTTCCATTTTCCAAAAAGGAGCACTGCTAGGGGCACTCGCCTCCTGCACTCTCCGGCCAACACATGCTTTTTTATTGGGCCACGTAAGCTTGATTCAGGTATGAAATGATTACTCCTCCCTAACCAACGTAACGAGGCCCAAGGAAATTGGAAGTGTTGGCGGATAGTGCAAATGGCGAGTGTTGCTAGCATTGCTCTTCCCTACTTGTACAGTAGGGTGTAGGGTTGTTCGTCACGTGGATTGTATTGAATTTTAATATTTTTAAAATTAGATTAATTCAATTAGTTAGTAAAATTTTTTTCAATTAATTTAATTTATTATCATATTTTAATTAATTCAATCTAATATTAACTGGATTGGTGTAATTTACTTAGATTAATTAATTTTTAATATTATTTTAAATATATTTAATTTGATAAAAAAATTATAATATCAAATTATGTAAACAGTTCAAAAATATCAAATTATATAAAACCCAATTATAAAATATAATAACATCATAATTGACAAAGTAATAATATCAATTATTAAATTAAAGTAAGAATTAAGAAGATGACAAAAAATAAAAGAAGTAAGAACGCACAAGGTAATCAAGAAATATAAACCCACATTATTACTACCTAACAAAGTTGATAGTGAGAGGAGCTTTTATTTGTAGAAGGAAGGATTTAAGATTGCACTATTTTTTAATTAAATTAATTAAATTATATTGTATAATTATATTAAAAATAAAATAAAAAATGATAATTAATAAAATTAAAATTTTATTACAAATATAAAATTCAAAAAATATATTATATTTTTCTTTTAACAAAAAAATTCTAAAAATATTTTATCAAAAAAAATATTATATTATGTAATCAAATTATATCATATTATATTTGTTTTAAAATTTTATAATTTAAATAAATGCAATTTAATGTCAATTCAAATTGAATTTTAATTAAATTATATTAATTTCTAGTAGGATGTAGGCTTCAATTCGTGTTATTTTTTTTTTCCGGTCAACTTTTTACCTATACTTCTTTCCTCTTATAATAATAATAATTTTTTAAATATTTTTTCAAAAATTAATAAATTTGTAGATAATTTTTCCTTTTACTTATATTAGCCTTAGAACATAAAGATACAAGAAAATGAATTTAATGATAAAGATGAAGTATAAATATTAAAATTAAGAACTAGTTCCATCAATAAAAAAAAAAAAAAAAACCTAATGATAGGATCAAATGAGAAAAATATATTTTTTTTACCTAAAAAGGTACATTGATTGGTGTGCGTTTTAACTCAATACATAACACAATATCTTTATTAAAAATTATTATTTTTTAATTTAAAATTAAAAATAAATAAATTTAAATATGCAATCATATATAACATGAAAGAACTAACTAAATTGATTA